TAATGAATAGAGGGATTTGTTCTAATAGTGTTTTTAAATAGGATTTCATGTCTGCATCTTGTGCAGCAAATAACCACTAGGAAGAGAGTATGCAATGTGTTAATTATTGGAACTATCCTACCAATTTGTTTTGAAACTGTCTCATTGCTATTTATTTCTCAACAAAATTATGGAAAAAATAAATATTATTCTAACAGCTATTATAAGAAAAATAAAAAAATAAAGAACCTTTTGATAATTGATGCCAGTCCAAAGACTGTAGGTACTTGAATTCAGCAAAATGCATCTCCAGACAAGGATCAAGAAAGGTCAGATTGGTGCAGAGGTTAAAAGTTTCCAAAAGACAGAAGGTGTAAATATCCTCCTATGAGCTAGGATATTGTTTTGGATTGGCTTTTAAACCCAAGCTAATGATCTCTTTTTATTTCAGGGTTCAATCATTTTTATTTTATAGCAATACCTTTTTCCTTCAATAGTTTTATAATTTTTCCTACATTTTTGCTTTGACATTGAAGGGTTTTTTAAATCACTTTAGTTTGACATTGAAGTTTTTAACAATTCCATTTTATCTTCCCTATTTGGTTACTATGCAGACCTCTTTTAAAAACTCTTTAGTGAGTATCTTCTGTATACAACACTTATCTTCAAATGATCATATTATAATATTCAAACAATTAAATATCAAATGAAAATTTAAATCCTTGTGACATGGTATTTAAAGTACTATCTTCATTGTTTACCATATTTTTCTTTTTTGTTGCTGTTTATCAAATTTTTCATAAATAGTTTATCTAAGTCTTTAACATAATATAAGCAGATTTCAATTACTTGGCATTTATGAATCTAAGTTTGTACTGAGCAAAGCTTTCTGTACTGTTTTTCTAGTCCAAAGAGGGGATCCCCTATCCCATTATCAATGAGGTGGTTTTCTTTATGCATCTTCCCTTCCTTAGGAGTTAAAGATCTCTAAGGATTTTCATTCAAAAATCTGTACTAAATCAGAAATACAGTTTTAAATATTTCCTTTCTTTCCTCCTTTAATAGATCTCAATGAATGATCCAAGGGAAACATCTTTCGCTGCTGTTTCTACAATGACTTTAGAATTTCCTTCCAAAGTAGAAAATTGTCTGAGCAGGATTCCAAGCCTGTGCACTAGAGACAGGCTTTCTCCAGTCTTAACACCTCCTCCTCACCAAAAAACCTAAAACAAAAACAAAAAACACCTCTCCCAAACTTTCATGTTCACCTAGCAGGAAGCCAAGGAGAAGTGTGTTGATGTGTGTAGATTTCCACGTGACTCCGTGGTGCCCAAGGATATTATGTTTTCATACTAGTCTTTGATTTGTATTTGTTACTTGCATAAACTTTTCAAAGGTATACTCATAAGAATGGTTACATTAAGAATGTGTAGGAAGAAACTATACAATATGTCCATCCTGCCTCTCCTTCAATGGTTCTTCTTCCTTGAGATTTCAAGTTGGTCATTCAGCAAGCCATTGGTGTGATCCAACTCAGTTCATGAAAAGAAAAATGACACCAAAGTAAGTAAGCAAGGAATGAACAGCTTTATTTCACAGGGGTGGTCCTGGGAAGAACGATTTCAAAAAAGAAAAAAAAAAAAAAAAAAAAAGAACACAGGTGGTGAGTGTCCAACAGCCAGAATTTGATATGAGGCATAGGAAGGGGTTACAAAGAGCAGACAGGAAGCCTGGCAGTTTTGAGTAGCTATCAGGGTGAGATCAGTGGTTATAGGACTACATTAATAGTCATCAGTTACAAGACTAGAACAATGACCACAAATCTTGGTACAATCCAGTATCCTACATGTTTTGGTATGCACTTTTGGTTACAGTGTTAAGTATAGAAAATAATTACACAGCTAAGAAACAGTTACATAGCTAGGGAGCTTCAAAGAGAACAAAGATTTTATTTTATTTTCTATATTTTAGGGAAGGGTTTATAGGGTGTTCAGGGTCTCACTACTAGATCAGACTCATAGTGATTCTCCTGTTTACAGCCTCCCAAGTGCTGGGATTACAGGCCCGCGCCACCACGCCCAGTCTCAATCATCTTCTCATTGTGTTCTAGGGGTGGAGCTGGCACAGAACCACCAGCCCCTGCACCTGTTTGCAGGCTATTTAATCCACTGAGCTATTTGGCTGGCCCCAAAGATTTTAAAGAGAGTAATTTTTCCTGCTACAATTTTTCCCTTGAGCCATCACTGTGAAAGTTATCTGCCTCTTGTGTTCTCCAAATTCAGGCCACTGTACAAACATTCCCTAATCCCAGGACTCTGCTCACCCTCCGCAAACAGTGCTTCAGTCATTGAAAACATATGTAAGCTTGTCTTTCAAATATCTACTGTAGAATATACCTTTGTTAATCGCTCTAGCCTCCTGAAATGAGCTAGTCTTCTCTTCAGAGCTCTGTGTGTCCATTCAGGTGTGGATTCACCACTTTCTTCTTGGCTAGAAGCTTGGTGTGGAAATCCACTTCTTTTTCTTTCAGTCCCTGTGAAGGTTTGGTGGTGGCACCAATCTGCAGGTATCCTTCCTTTTGGTCATAATTGGGCCAGTGAGGCAGCCCCTCCATATTGGGGTTCCTGAGAACAGAATCAAAATAAATTCTCCGAAATACTCCATGTTTCCCACATTTTTCTGAGATTTTCTACTTTCCACTGGCTTATCTCAGCAAAGAGACCCATGCACCTCCACAGATAGAGTCTGCCCCATCTCCTGCTTGTGCTTTTACAGGAAACTCCCACTGTGACAGTGCTGTGTTCAACCATTCCAGCTGTAGAAGACACCCTGGGCTAGCAGGTATGCCCAACCATACCATTACCAATTCTTTTCATTTTTGCCACCAGCCTCACCCAGTCCGAGCAAAGTTGGCCCAGAATTTCATCACCATCTTGCTGAGGTTGATCTCTTCTTCTGAGGCTCCCTCTGCACAGAAGTAAAAGCCCAAAACAGTATTTAGTATTCAAAGTGTGGTTCACTGAGGCACCAGCAATTGAAGCACAGTGATTTGTAACAAACTTAGACTCTTGGCCTTTATTCCTTGTCTATGGAGTCAAAACTCTTGAATTTAAGAGTATTCTTGCATTTGCTATGCACTAACCTTGAGAGTCATTCTGTATGACTCAGCCATAGACCCAAAATCCATCCATATGCTTGTTGCCTTTGTCTTTTGTGTCTACTTCTAGCCCTCATAATTACAATGCCACACATCAAATTTTCCTATGCCCTATAAAATTGCTGTTTGTATATATCTTAATTTTCTGTTATGTTTTCTGCCCAACTGTAGCCTCACACTATGCAGGGCTTCTACAATTTGTGATTTGTTCAGGGTCCAATGATGGAATTATGGGTGTGAATGCTATACTTGTGCTGGAGAAGGTATCCTGCATACAATATAAGGAAAAGAAAGAGGCTTGCCCTCTGCTGCTCCTCCTGTTTGGTTTTGGTGAACTGTTTCTCTTCTACCCCCATGAACTATTGCCCTCTGCCATGTTCTACTGTGCCTTATAGCCAGCCAGGTATGTACTGAAACTTCCACAAACCAGTGCAAGATAAGTCAGTCCTTCCTTAACTTTGAATGTCTGGTATTTTTGTCTCAGCAATAACAGAAAAGTAGCAACGACATTTTCCTGTACACTTTTACACTTCCTAGTGTCTAAAATACATTATACCAGCAAAGTATCTGTAGAACCAGCAAAGTGAGAGATACACAGAGGCACATGTGTGTCATGAAGAGCCCTGAGGTGGCTTACAAGTCAAGGACTTAACACATTTATGAGAAAAGTTCACTGTATATTATGTTATTAAATATATTAAGCTTAAAATCCATGTTTTGGACATATGAAATCATGGGCAGAGAGCTGGACATATAAGATTAGAGCTTTTATTAGCCATCTCCTCACTCACATTATGAGAGATTCTAGACAGTAGAAAATCAAGCAATAGCATTTTTTGCCCTCAATCAGGTCTCTGTAGAAGACTCAGTTCCTCTCTCTCTTATGTTATGTTCAAGTTGGACAACGTGAGCACCCATCTGTTCTTATGCATGTGAGAGCAGGGGAAAGGCTGTGTTCAGCTAATATAGTTTAGCCATGTGATATGGAATCAGGAATCTAGCAGAGAAGAAGAAGCTTGGTAAAGGTCATCATACAAAAAGCATTAAGTCCCCTAACTCTTAAGTTAGCCAGAAAAGATCCATTACTTTTCTTAAAAAAGAGAATAAAAATGAGTAAAAAAGAAAAAGCAAAAACATTAGAAATGACATAGTATCACACTAAAAAATAATAGACATTACCTTTTAAAAATGGAACCCCAAACACTGAGAAGATCTCATCAGCATGGTCTCCTAGCACTGTCCTGGGTCTCAAATCTGGTGAGAAGCTTGGACAATACTGGAACTCATACATGTAGGTGGGGACTCCAGCATCTGAAAAGCCATGGATTGTGCACAATTTATGGTACTGTATACACAATCAGATGGCTCAAGTTTCTGGTTGTGGAGGAAGCATGTGGTTATCATCAAATAACAGAAGGAGAAAAATTTAAGTAATTTCCTAGAAAGGCAGATATAGGAACACACAGATGGTTGAGACAGATCTTTGATTTGAATCAGATGTTTATTGAATGAATGAAGGCAATGCATCCATAAAATACACTGGACACTTTTCAATGATAGCCCATATTGCTCATTCATGTTGACATCTACAATCCAGTAGGTATCTCTTTATCTTACTTTTGAACACTCTCAGAGTTTTTTTGTCAAGCATTCTGAGGTAAGTGCAGCAAATGTAATGGATTTTCCAAAACTAAGAATCCTTAAGTACAAATACATGTACATAGAGAGCAAACTGTTTTGTTAGAGGAAACCACAAAACTGAAGATGTTGTATTGTAGGCACCTGACCCATCCTATTGTGTTTTGGGCCACGAATGTTAAAGCAGTAAGATGATAAGGTGATAAAAAAAGAAAAAAGTATAAAAAGAGGCTGAGGCTGACTCAGTACTCCCATTTTTTGCTACTCTTTCTTAACACCAACACAAATTTCTCCAAGCCTCAAGATGCTACATTTTATGCTGAAGGGTAACATCATTCATACTGCCTTAAAAAAAACTAAGACTAAGGAAAAGAAAGGCAAGTCCAAGTCAGATGAGTTGAGTTTTCCATCTTCCCCATGAATACAGTAGGAAAAGAAAAAAATGTAGAAAAATGATAAGCAAAAGCAAACAAACAAAAAACAAAACAAAACAAAACAAAACAGAAAGAAAAAAAATACATGCTGAAAGTTTCATCTATGACCAAAACATTTTTTAAATTTTTTCCACTGCAAAATTTTACCAAATATTTATTTATTCATTATTTTAAAATATAATTTTTACTTTATTATTTTCTTGTTTTCTGTATTTCAGGAAAGGGTTTATAGGGCATTCAGGGTCTCACTGCTGGATCAGCCTTGTAGTGATCTGCCAGTCTACAGTCTCCCAAGAGCTAGGATTACAAGTGCACACCACCACACCCAGTTTCAATTGCTGTTTTAGCACATCCCAGGAGCAAAGCCAGCAGAGGAGGCCCAAGGATCAAATGCCTGGCCTCTGCACCTGTTTGCAGATGCTTTAATCCACTGAGCTATTTGTCAGGATCTAAAATAGAATATTTTAAAATTAATTTTATTGAGCCAAAACATTTTTAAAGCACCTCAAAATCTATTTATAAAGAAAAGAATATATGAATGAGAGAAATTATTTTAGGTAGTATTCTGCCCAAGATCTTTATTAAAAATTGCCTAAGATCAGATGGATTTATAAATTTCCTATAGACACAAGTCTTCAAAGAGCAGGACATAGCTTTGGGGAAAGCAATTATGAACAATAAGAAGAACAGGGAAATGGTACACCATGAAAATACCAACTATTTGCATAAAGAAGACAGGCCAAAAAACCTAGAAGGTATATTTCAAGAAATAATGGCTAAAAACTTTCCCATACAGAGACCCAGTCCTAGCCCAGGTCCGGAGAGTGTGTGGGAAAGCTTCCTGCTACCCTGCGCCTGCAGGACCAGTCCCAGCCACAGCGCAGCGTGAGCCAAATGCTCTTCCACCCCACTGGGACTCCCCCCAACACTCCGCAGCACCACCTCCACCCAGCCCAACAAGTAGGAATTTCTGCCACTTCCCGGGAACCCCAAGACCCAGTCCTAGCCAAGACCCAGTGAGTGTGAGGGAGAGCTTCCTCACCCCCCTACTCCACCTTGCCCCCTCCAGGCACAGCTCAGACCTGGCATACATGGCTGGGGTGTAACCCTGCAGCTGCAATCCCTGCAGAGAGAGTAGAGGATAGATCCAACCAGCTAGTGTAAGAGCAGAACATCTTCCACAGGGGCACAACAGGTTCACCCTCAAGGGCAGCAGCAAGAAGGAGGTGAGCACAGCAGCCAGACCCAACCCAGGCACAGCTGGAAAAGTCCAAACTTTGTAGAGCTGCACCAGAACTTCAGTACGTGTGAAGGTTATAACTACAACAAAGATCTACAACAAGGGTCAGAAGACAGAGCTGCACAAAATGCAACCTCAGAACCCAAGCCCACCCATAACAAGTGCAGAGGACACTAACACAAAACAAATTGGAAATCACACATCTGAAAGCAATGAATCAACGGCTTCTGAAATAAAGAAACAGCTGCAGAAAGGTATAGAGGACCTCAGATTGGAAATAAAAAAAAGAAATCCTTGAATTAT